TGCGAAGCCGCCGTTCTCTGCGAGTCGCGACGTTGGCACGCTGTACGATAACCTGCTTTTCAAGGCCACCAAATTGCACCAGTGCACAGATAAATTCCTACAAAGAACTGCTCTTTGTAATACGAAGAAAACGGTGGTTTCGCAGCCTGCGAAGGAAATTGTTTGTCATACGAACAGTTCTCATTGTAGTACAAAGGAAAAATCTTTCGCAGGCTACGGAGAATTTTCCTTTGTCTTATTACAAACGATTTCCTTCGCAGGCTGCGAAGCCGCCGTTCTCTTCGTATTTTGTTCGCGTAACGAATAATTTGTTGGTCCGACGAACAATTCGTTGGCGGAGCATGAAAGTTAGTTGGAGAGTCAAAAGCATGACTTTGTTCCTTTGACGGATCTTTTCGGAGCGCTAACAGATTGTTAGTTTTACCAACAAAAATTTCGTTACTCAAAGAAGTAACTCGAACACATTTTTTCGGTTATCACGGAATCAACGCACTTTTTCGTTGGGTCAACGAATTCCTTTTTTCCGTGCAGAAGTTTCGGAAAAACTCCATGATTTTTCCATTTCTTTTTCGGAATTTTCTGACAATGCAGGGTCGGCCCTGGAAATTTTACGTGATCGCCTGCGTCCGCCCTGGGAACACGTCAGGTCTCCTGGAAACGTGAGAAAAGCCCTATTAATCCCAAGCGATGGATTCACCGTGTGAACCTCGGTCCAAAAATCAAAACAAAGTTTCAGCCCCACTAGAGCAACGAGCTTGGCCTTGCTATCGATTATCCGAGTTGCTGCTGACAGACTTAACTTTTGACCCACATAACTGTAAATCGACATAACTGGTGACAGAAATAACGCATTTATTTCTGAAATATAAAAGCATTTATATTGAAATTAAAATTTTAATTGCTAGAAACATAACATTTTACAGGGGGGAGGGGATGTGCTAGGCACGCCTTCGGCGCGCGCGCTGAGGGCAGGCTGTAGGGGGCAGGAGGTGTGCGTGTGACAGAGTGTGTGTCGCTTCTAGGTGCAGGGTGCTTTCTATCGCTTGGCTGATTCATCCAATTCCCATCGTGAGCTTGTTTCTCTTTCCTGCTTCCGCACGTTCCCTTCCCCATGCCGTCGCGTCCGGGCCCTGTGCACACGTTCCCCCCGGGGGCTGCCATCGCTTTCTTGTGGAAGATGATGAAGATGATGCCAACCGCAAAAGACGGACACGCCTATCGATGAGCTGGACCAGATATGGGACTGCCATTCGACTGGTGTTAGTTAAGGCGCTGCTGTTAGACCCATGCTTATGCCTTGTCTCTCTCTTTGTTTCTGCATATCTAACCACGAGGAACTGCAAGATGTGCGGCATGAATGGTCACTGTCAACCTGCAGGTCGACTGATAGGATTCGCCAGAGGGGAAGAACGGGCGCGACCCCTTCCCACTACCGGCTTCGGGATGGGGAGAAGAAGCAAAAGATGTCGGAAACGGCCAATTACCTTAACAGAGGGAGCTCTGTTTGTTGTGGGGGCGTGGTTGCTGTTGTACCAAAACTTTTCTCCCTATAGTAAACCCTCACGCCCTGGGCTCCGGAGGAGCAAACGCTGCGAAGGTAGTCCACTCGTCGCGCGCCGTAGCGTGGCGGGGTCCCCTATAGTGACGCCGTTGTACGGGTTGCGCCAACGGGGGTGGGTGCGGCAAGGATCTAGGAGGGTGCACTGAGTCCCGACCCGGCGGAACCCGCGTGGAAGGATCTGTAGTGAAACTACAGTTTAAACTACAGTGCCAAAACTGCAGTTGCTGACTGTAGTTTTTTGTAAGAACAAACTTCAGAACTTGTACAGTTGTACAGTTGTACAGTTTGCTCCTGGAACTGAAGGTTGCTGTGCTTTAAAACTGCACTCTATCTGAACTGTTATTTGTTAACTAGGTATTGAGTACGGTCTGTACTTTAAAGGGAAGTTATTAATTATTTAATTCTGTAGTCTACTACTGAAGATCTGCCTACACTTGTATCTTCAGCACAATCCACAAAGCAAATGTAGTTTCTGGTCACATTTTTATACACAATGACAAGCAAGTTGAATGTTTACTACAATTTGCAGTAATTTTGCATTTCAAGCATGGTTTAAAGATAAGTCAAGCACTGCAATTTGATATGAAGACACAGAAACAATTATAAAATGTAACTAAAATATAGAATATTAGGATGGGAATAGATATATTTTTTAGAAATTTTAGTAATTTCTTTTAAAAAATTTCAAGCTATAAAGGTTGGTTTTAGTCTCTATAATGTATGAGCCTAGGAAGTTATAAGTGCGCAGACCAACAGTTTACGTTGAAATACTGGACATTGGAGACTTTTAGAAGGCACAACTAAACAAAAATTTAAAAAAAAAGCAAAAACAAAAACACATGACTGAATGTAACCAAATCTTTAAAACACCATCTGGTAATCTGTTTGATTATTTCATAACGTTCCATATTGGTCAGGTATTATGTTACAAGGAATCGTGGAAATCAACAAACCACAATGTGTCACTAGTTTGACAAAGATGACAAACAAGTTCAAGTTAAGAAGCATCAAACTCATTATAACCAGGTGTTTGAATGTTAAACGCAACAAAAATTAGGAAGCGTCTTGATCCAGAACGTCTCAGAAGTTAAAAAGGTAACGACTCCTGTCGTTGAAAAATAAGACTGAAAAGGCACTCTAAATTAAATCACTTCATGGTCTCTTTGTTTCAGAGGCAAACTTAATACAAATTACTTCTTGGATTTGCAAAATTTACTTATAGTACAGAGCAGTTTACAGTAAAACTGTATTTTTCTTGCAGTTGCACTCTAGTCCCTGGGGATAGCAGGCCTTTCCATGTGGTCGAGCGGCCAAGCCCTGTCCCACATGGAAGCTCAGTGGAGCAGTGGTCAAGGCCTCTGCTTCGCAACTGAAGTGTCCGAGGTTCAACTCCCGGCAACATTCACCCAAGAAACACAATCAACACAACTTCAGTTACACATGGGGTGGGAGGGAGGAAGAGTTTCCTCAAAACAGGGCTCGAAAATTACTATTTTTGAATTTTGACCGCAAAATTCAAACTGCAGTCTCTTGTCTTTTTTAAACCAAGTCTACCTGTGTAAATAAACTACAGTAAAACTGTACTTTGAACTATATAGTCAAGTGGGACAAACTGGGGTCAAAAACTATAGTTGTCCGAAATAACTGGTAGTTTTTATACAGTTTAACTATAGTTTTCTATACTTTATCTATACTTTGACTACATTTTTATGCACTCAATTAACAGTTTAATTGTATTTAAAGTACAGAAATCTCTCTTTTAAATCTAAATAGACAATTACAAAAAAAATTATATTTTTCCAGTGTAGCCTAAACTACAGATCCTTCCACGCGGGAATCCGGAGTTTGTCAATTTTGGCTTTGCTCAGTCGCGCCTTATCTTATCTTATCTGCTAGAAACATAACATTTTACAGAAATAACCAAATCGCTCATTCACATATCTGTTGTCAGACATAACATTTGACAGGCATAATATTTGATAGACAAAACCGTCGACAGACATAACCGTCCAGGTGCGGGGCACTCGCCCGCGTGGACGTCCGCGAGGCAGCCGTGCCAGAGGCGGCCGCGGAAGGGGTGGTCGCAGCAGGGGTGCTGGGGATGTTCCACCCGTTTCATCTAGGGTAGGAGGAGAAAGTGAACGAGAGCTGCAACGAGAGCTGCCGGAAGGCAGCTCAATTTTTAACTAAGCTCCATTGTTTTTCTACCTTCCTCTATTTCTAAAAGAAATTTATAAATATGTCTTTATATAGGAATTTAAAAGTTATTTCTGAATAAAGTTATGGGTATTGAAAGTTATGTGTGTTTACAGTTTTTAAACCATAATTAATCCTGTTTTATGTGTGACACCAGTTATGTCTGTAGCCGGTTATGTCTGTCAACAATTATAAGGATAAACGGTTATGTGGGTTTAAAGTTATGTCTGAAGCAGAACTCCCGATTATCCATTGAGAGCATTGAGTGTGATCATATTTTATTTTTTTATTTAGGACGTGGTGCTTGGAGTCGAACAGGCTCTGTTTATGTACACGGTGGAGACTCTCTCAAATCGCTACGCTCGTATAAATCAGAGTCTGAAGACAGTTGAAGTGCTGCTATATAAAGGTTACAACGTCCAACGACGTGTGGAAGAGGTGAGTAGTACCCAAGAGCAACCACTGATACGAAACCCAACACCTTGTAGTATTAGTATTTTCTGACTCGCGCTGCTCGCTGGGGCCTCCGCCCCCAGACCCCCGCATGTGTGGAGCGCGTGCCGAAGTACAGTATTTAGTAAGTCCGTGGTGACCAAAGGCAAATTTTCTAAGGAAGTAACCGTCCTACTTCTTTGAAAGCTCTATTTAACCGCTTTTGACCATATAATAAGGCTACTTTTACTGCCCAAATAGATAGCTTGTATTGAATTGGCTACTGTGGCAGTCAATGGGTGCATACAAGGTCCGGAAAATATTGAAGACTGCTTTGACAAGGATAGAGGTGAAGAGAAAAAAAAACTTTAGGTCTCTACGACCACTCCTTGACCCCAAACATTTCTTTGAGTAATTGACTGAGTGAGTCAGTCAGTCGGATTGGGGCTATATGGGCGATTCCATGCCAAACCAACGAACGCTTGGAATTTCATCTCTCCGATTTTGATGAAACTTTTTTTGGGGGTAGGGGTCATCATAAAAAGATCCCCTGCCAAAGGGTTTTGCGATATCTCACCCCGTTTGGCTGTGGCAGGATATCAAAGTTTTAGCTTTAGTCAAAATCATGATATTTTCTTAAATTTCCTCTGTTCTGGCAGATTTTTTTTGGATTTTTTTCCATAGTGTTTTTTTACGTAAAAAGAGCTGGGGAACACGATGAAAACGGTTTCGAGACGATTGGGTGAAGTTTTGATGCCAAAATTTTCATTTTTCGTCATATTTTTTCGAAAAATTACCATTCCCAAAATAGCTCATCTTTGATTTCGACCTTACTTTTACCAAATGATCTCCTAACATAGTGGAACAAAACCCTAAAAGGGTTTGGTCGGCCCGCCCATAGGATCTGAGAAATCGCAAAAACAAATTCTGAAAAATCACCAAATTCGTGTATTTAAGGTGGTGGTGGTGGTGTGGGTTCTTGCCTGCGCTGCGCAGCCGTCTGTTCTGGTCAACATCGACTTCCCCGCTCGGCGTGCGAAGGAAAACCACCCGCCAGGAGCGCCTGTGAAGCTCGGATAGGCAACCCGCAGGCCAGAGTGCGCATGTGCATGCGTTGGGTTGCCTACCTTCCATTACCATCAAGAACCTATAAAGCCCCAATCCGACTGACTCACTGACTCACTCATAGAAATGTTTGGGGTGAAGGAGTGGTTGTAGAGACTTGCGGTTTTTTCCATTCGATTCCAAATTTTATGGGAAAATTGGGAAAAATCCCAAAAGTTGAAAATTCCTCACCGTTTCCGAGAAAACCTACTTTATCTACAAAAAAGGGGAACAAATTTCTCACCGTTTCCGAGCAAACCTACTCAATCTTCAAAAAAGGGGACCGACCGACTAAAAATTTTTATTCGCCCTATCGGTAGGTCTGGTCGAGACATTTCCAAAACTGTGCCGCAATCTGGTCCCCGTCACCGGCAACATCCTAAAAACGATATAATAATATATAAAAATAGGCCTAAATTCAACAAAATCCACTCAATCTTCAAAAAAGGGGACCGACCGACTGAAAATTTTTATTCGCCTTATCGGTAGGTCTGGTCGAGACATTTCCGAAACTGTGCCGCAATCGGGTCCCCGTCACCGGCAACATCTTCAAAAACGATTAAATAGGCCTAAATTCAACAAAATCCACTCAATCTTCAAAAAAGGGGACCGACCGACTAAAAATTTTTATTCGCCCCGCCGCAATCGGGTTCCCGTCACCGGCAACATCCTCAAAAACGATTAAATAGGCCTAAATTTAACAAAATCCACTCAATCTTCAAAAAAGGGGACCGACCGACTAAAAATTTTTATTCGCCCCATCGGTAGGTCTAGTCGAGACATTTCCGAAACTGTGCCGCAATTGGGTCCCCGTCACCGGCAACATACTCAAAATCAATCATCAATTGTCATCAAGAACCTATAAAGCCCCAAAATCCGACTGACTCCCTCACTCATCAATCAAGAACCTATATAGCCCCAATCCGACTGACTCACTGACTCACTGACTCACTGATTTACTGACCCACTCACTCATAGAAATGTTTGGGGTCAAGGAGTGGTCGTAGAGACCTGCGGGTTTTTCCATTCGATTCCAAATTTATTGGGAAAATTGAGAAAAATCTCAAAAGTTGAAAATTTCTCACTGTTCCCGAGCAAACCTACTCAATCTTCTAAAAATGGGACCGAATGACTAAATATTTTTATTCGCCCCATCGGTAGGTCTGGTCGAGAATTTCCGAAACTGTGCCGTAATCGGGACCCCGCCACCGGCAATTGGGCAACCATCATCAAGAATCTTTATAGCCCCAATCCGACTGACCGACTGACTCACTCACTCACTTACTCACTCAAAGAAATGTTTGGGGTCAAGGAGTGGTCGTAGAGACCTAAGGTTTTTTCCTTTCACCTCTATCCTTGTCAAAGCAGTCTTCAATATTTTCCGGACCTTGTATGCACCCATTGACTGCCACAGTAGCTAATGCAATACAAGCTATCTATTTGGGCAGTCAAAGTAGCCTTATTATATGGTCAAAAGTGGTTAAATAGAGCTTTCAAAGAAACAGGACATTTACTTCCTTAGAAAATTTGCCTTTGGTCACCATGGACTTACTAAATACTTCGGCACGCGCTCCACACATGCGGGGGTCTGGGGGCGGAGCCCCCAGCGAGCAGCGCGAGTTACCACTAAGGGCTAGACCACACATAAGTTAACTGAACTTCACTTGAAAGGCTGGACCACAATCAATCGTGTGTACAAGTCTATGTTTCTTCTGTTAAAATTGTGAACAACTCATGTTGTAGAGGCAGAAGAAAAGGGGAAAAGGGGAGGAACTCTAAAAAATTGAAAAAAGGAGGTTTTTTTTTCATTTGCGTACAAAATTAAAATTGAGTAAATATTGGGTATTTACCGTTATCTAATTTAACTGTTCCCCCTTTCTTCCGCCTCTACAACATGAACTGTTCACCATTTTAACAGAAGAAACATAGACTTGTACACACGATTGATTGTGGTCTAGCCTTTCAAGTGAAGTTCAGTTAACTCATGTGTGGTCTAGCCCTTAGTGGTAATAGTAATAGAGGGTAGGCAACCCAACGCACGCACATGCGCACTCTGGCCTGCGGGTTCACTGAGAATCCATACGCTATGAGTATAGCGTCAATTGGTGCAATGCAAAAGCATTGCACATGAAGTGCAATGCCTCCCCATCGCCATCCATTAGCATACGGCATTTTCGGGATGCATTGCACAGTGGTACGAAACGGCTAAAAATGGGACAAAAATATTTGAGCCTTCCAAAGGACTTCTTGGGCCATAAAAAAGTTAAAAAAGTGTCACAAAGGTGCACCGGAGCTATATTGCCAGTGTAGGGTCGCAAAAACCTCAAAAAACGTGGAAAAATGCCGTTTTTGGGGTCTTTCCCTGTGATTAAAATGACTTCTAATTCGAATCCGCACTATCTCTAAGCGCCAAAAGATAGCCTAATATGTGTACTTTGAAACCCTGACAGCCCCTAGGCGACCAGACACCCGGGATTTTTAATACACGCAACTTAAGGTAAAATAAATTGTCTGAAAACCCGAAAAAAGCCCTTTTCAGGGCCAAACCCGAGCAGATTAATATCAGTTGCTGTCAAATGGCAATAATGGCTGACAAATAGACTCTTTCACTCATTGCGAAGTAAAGAAATATAGTTCTCAAAATGTCGGGAACCAGTAGCGCAGTAGCGGCTATCATTGTAAACAGTCAAAAGCTGAATCCTGATTGGTTACAAGCGTAGCTCTGGACGAAGCTCACTGCAGTGGCCGCTAGGTGCCGCGCAGCTTCACTGAGATTCCGAACGCTTTGAGTATAGCACGTATAGCGCAAAGCAGCTGAGATATCGCACCATACGTGCAATTCCATAGCCATATTGCATCTTACGTGCAATGCGTCCCGAAAATGCATTTTGCTAATGCGTGAGAAGGGGGGGGGGGCATTGCCCTTAATGTGCAATGCTTTTGCATTGGAACAATTGATGCTAAACTCATAGCGTTTGGATTTCCAGTGTCCGTTTCCGTTTAATTAACGTTTAATGGCATTGCACGTATGGTGCGATATCTCAGCTGCATTGCACTATACGTGCTACGTGCTATACTCAAAGCGTTCGGAATCTCAGTGAAGCTGCGCGGCACCTAGCGGCCACTGCAGTGAGCTTCGTCCAGAGCTACGCTTGTTGGCTGAGCGATAGCGAAGCCTGTTACTCCAGTGGGGTTGAAAAGTTTTGTCTGTGGGTCTGTCTGTCTGTCGGTCTGTCTGTCCGCACTACTCCTCCTGAACGGCTCGGCCGATCTCGGTGAGATTTTGCACACTTCTTAGGTATGTCTTTGGCTCGGCACACGCGAAATTTCACCATCCTAGCTCAACTGGTTCAGTTTTTATAGGCGAAAAACACCTAAAAAAACGGCGAAAAATAGAGATTTCTGCAGATAGACCACTTCTGTCTAGGAGAAAGGGGGGTCTGGGGGGCGGAGCCCCCCAGCTTCGACAAGTTAAAAAGTGACAAGGGTCAAGATCGTGTTACCTGTAGATAAAACAACTCTATTTACAATGTAGGGGGGTCTGAGGGGCGGAGCCCCCCAGCATTCAACAAGTTAAAAAATAACCGACAACGGACAAGCCATTGCCTGCCGCAGGCAGGCTAGCGCCGCAGGCCAAGGCAGGTACGCCAGGCGTGGATTGGAGGAACAGGCAGCGAGACATCGCGAAGCCTGTTACGACAAGACGCGGTCTGGCGTAAACCTACCTTGTAACCAATCAGGATTCAGCTTTTGACTGTTTACAATGATAGCCGCTGGTGCGCTACTGGTTCCCGACATTTTGAGAACTATATTTCTTTACTTCGCAATGAGTGAAAGAGTCTATTTGTCAGCCATTATTGCCATTTGACAGCAACTGATATTAATCTGCTCGGGTTTGGCCC